TTTCTGTTAAGAGACATGTATCAGAACGCTGAAATTCGTATCTTGTCTAGTGGTCCATTATACGCCCGAAGCCTGAAACCTGGAGATTGAATTAATGGAAAATTTGCAAAAACTTGCCAAATTTATTGAACATACCATGCGTTTTCTACGTGCCGAAAAAAGGTTCCAGACCGTTCGACAACGCTAGTGGGCAGGTATCGTCTACTTATCCTGGATAGGGTTGTCTCACTGCGCTGTAACTGAAATTACATAAATGGGATCTTAAAATGGTGGATGAATTTAAACGAAATTAGCGAAAGCGCATCTCACCATGCCCAATTCCCTCTCAAGTTTTTCTTTATCAACACAGAACCCAATTACATAACGCCTCAAAACTTCCATTGATACACTGAATAGTACTCAGCCTCAAAAACTCGAATTTCGATTAGAAAATCTCGAAATTTTTTCTGAGATGTTTCAATCTTCAAAATTCTCTCGAGGAGGTCTCCTGGACTCTCTTTAGAGCTGGGACAGTGCACTAGAAAAAAACAAATTGGATCTAGAGTCCAGACTCTTGAAAACATTGACAAGAAAAAGGACTCTTGATTCAATCAGATTTAAGCTTAAATCAAAAGGAAATCCGCTCAAATTAAGAGGCTTTGTTCTTGATTTTATAGCTTAAATCTGATTGAAACAAGAGTATTTTTTTTTGTCGATGTTTATAAGAGTCTGGACTCTAGATCCAATGTGTTTTTTTTTTCCAGTGTGTCTCCGACCTCTTTTGGTGGAGTGTTTCTCTTCGCTCTCCTACGGGCCGATTATTGAAATTGATAGACAAAGCTATAGACGAAGAAGACATTAGGAGTATAGAGCGATCTTATTGGTTGAAATGCGGGTGATTCTTATAGACTAATAGTACGGTGGCTTAGCGCCAAAAAAGGGCCAAATGCTGCAAATCGTGATTCAGTTTTGCCACTTTGGGAGATCAAACTAGATGACATTTTAAGAGTTTTGAGTCGAAGAGGCATTTCCAAAATGGTGGCAGATCCAAGATGGCGGCCATTCAAAATGGCGGCCAGCGCGTACTTTGCGCCGCTATAGATCGAGATCCTCTGAACCGATTTAATTTTTCTTTTTTTTGTTTTAAAGATAATTTAAAGGTAAATATAAA